AGTGGAGCACGTGAACCCAACCTCTACACCACTGGGCCAGCCCCTAGAGTTTTTTTTTACTGCATCTTAAACTAGGTTATACTGATATCGGTACTACCTAAAAGTGAAATCTAGCCTCAAAGGGATACACACAAAGCCCTCAGAAACAGAGAAGATGTTATAAAGGAGCTGGTGGTAAGCACTGAATTCACTGAAAACAGAATCAAGACTAAATACTGGTTGGAATTATGGATTAAAAAGAGAAAAATAAACATTTGAAATCTTAACAACGTAAAAATAAGAACATAACTAACACATTTCCATGAGATAAAGGAATAGTAAGAATGTTAATATCTAAATATTTTGTAACAAAGTGAAACAATAATGTAAATAATAATAATAATGTAAATAAATTAAAATGTTAAAATGACTCCAATTTCATAATATTTAAGAGGATATCTCTTGTGCTGAAAGAACACTATTTAAAGTTTGGAATTTCTTTGCTTTTAATTCAGTTCCTCTTTCTTCTGTTAATTTAAATACAATAAAATTTAAATAAAGTTGAATTTTTCGCTATAATGGCAAATATAATACATTCTAAATTTTGTAAAACCATGTCCATCGTTCTGTTCAGCCATCCATACGTCTGTTATCCATTCCTCTATCCTTCTATTTGCATATCCTTCTATTTATTCATAGTAGTGTGGATATGTGCCCGAAATTTTATTCATAGCAAGGTAATCACAGTAATTTATAGATAATAGAATTTGTAGTGATATTTTCTCATATGTTTTGCACGTTTTTGTAGCAGATGCCTTCTTCCTATCACTTTTTCAAAACAATAAACTCTTAAATCTTGAAAAAAAACTTAAAAAAGACAAATTTCTTGGCCTCAAGTGCTTCAAGTACCTTATTTAGGTAACACGAAATCAAAAGTTCCTGCTATGTTTCAGTTCCCATCAAAATTCCTTTCTCTTCTCTTCAACAATTTTAACATACTGAGCAAAAAAGACTTTGTGGGGAAGTAATAGGATCTGTTGGATAGGGTTCAGAGCCAGCATTTCAATTGTTCAATGAAATACATGGAAATAATCTAAGAAGAAGAGATTAGGGAGAGCGGGCGGGAGCACATATTTGCTTGAAGCCACATGGTAACTCAGCTTTTGAAAATAACTATTCTCTAAGGCTTCATGTTCTCTTCACTTTACACCTAATTTATCAGTGAATACATCCATATTTTTAATCACTGGATTTGGGAAATCGAATTATTACTAGTCTGGTGATTAAATGGCTCTATCCATCTGCTGGTATATTGTCATTATTATTTGAGCCTAGCTCTTGATGACAGACATTGTAAGTCACTTTCATTAAATTCAGACAGTGATTCTATAAAATCTTTTAGAAAAAAATGAATGCTTGAACCAGACTTTTTTTCTGTTAAAATTAAGGCAAAACATGAAAAGTAATATAATTAAGTGAAAATTGAAGTGAGTTTGAGAAGTGGTGGTGTCTAACGATGTCTCCAAGTGGCAGCACTTGTTCTTGGACGATCTTCTGGTTGAGACTGAATCCAGAGAGATTTCTGGTCTAATGGATAGCTCAGCACTGGTGAGGCTGTGATGTTTGTTTAATTAGTGTGACTTATTCTACTCCCAGAATAATTTTAACGGGTTAAGTGCAATTGTCAAGCTTTTTTATTCACTGAGGATCTTTGTTATTTTAGAATAAACTCTGTATTCCTGAAGTCACAGAACAGCAGTTGTGGGTTTTCATCTAAAATCACAGTTTAATTTCTAGGTCGTTTGTATGGTCTGCTAAGAACATCTGCATGACTGAAATGAAGAAGATTTTGTAAAGTTCTATTAGAACCTTTTATTTGCTTGTTATATCACTGTTAAAAGAGAATGAAAGGCAGCCTGATTGTAAACAAGTCTTTCCACTTTCTTATTACTACGGACTAAATAAATATCTTAAGTATTTTTAAAAGTATTTATCACTTAGTAAATATTATTTGAGTGCCTCCTATTTATACAAGATGCCCTGGAGGTACCACAGAGATGTGGTCTCTCTTCTTAAAGTATTTGCCATGTAGCAACGTTCCCCCACATAAATAATATAATACAAACATGCGTACTACAAGCTTTCATAGTATTCTGTATTTGCTTTCTCCACATTTATTCACTCTTCATCATGTACTTACCTTAAATAATTTGTTAAATGTACACCTTTACTGCTGGGCCCTAAACTCCGTGTGGGTAGGAGCAGTGTCCCTTTTGGTAACGACTATGTCCCCAGTACCTAACACAGCGACAGGTACATCACTGACACGCTATATATTTTTGACTAACTTATGCAGATGTGAGAATTGTTGCAGGAGAAGTATAATCTAAAGGAAGGCGATTAAGGAGGTCTAAATTACTATCTGGAATGTGTTTTAGTTTGGAAAAGTGGCTCAGCTTAAATGCATTGGAATTGGAAGAGAGAGAAAGGGTAGGCCAAAAAGAAACAGCACGTTCAACGCTTTGAGGCAATTGTGCAGGTATGAATATATATGAAATGGTGTAGTACTCGGGTCCACCAGGGCACAGTTAGATGTCAGGAAGTCATGAGGGAAGGCAGTGGACACCAGAAAGAACACAGAGTATTAGAATCCAATGTACAAGACTAAGGAATTGAAATCTTTATTTAATGAAATGAGAAATTTTAGATAGGATTGCATAATTTTGGTTCAATGACTAAAATAACTCACATTTTAGTTGCATATCCATAATTCCAATTTTCTAAAAACTTTTTTAAGATCAGAAAAGCTTTTTAAGGGCAGAAACTACATTTTTAACTTTGAAATCACAGTAACTGGTATATTCCCTAGAGCATTTTAGCTGTTAAGCATATATTTTTGATAAGATGGTCATCTGAATTTGTTAAGTGAAACAATATTCTAAGAGATATGAAGTGACTCTTGCTTGAGACTATAGGTAGATAAGAGGGAGATAACTAGGTAGGTGGATAAAAAGACATAGAAGTTTAAAGGTAGATAGATGGATAGATAAATAAAAACAATAAACGCACACATACAAAATTAATACATATGCCTAACCGCATACCCATCGACTCACACACAAACACACACAAGCATACACATAGACGTACCCACACAAGTACACCTATGTTTATGCAAATATATATATGCATACACAATTACAAACACAAACTCACACAGATGTCCACACCCATAGGTACGTGAGTGATGATAAATAAAATACTAGGATTATGCTATAGAAAACACAGACAAAGCTCATGGAATTATCAGGAATAATGGTATTAGGAGGGCAGACAAATAACAGATGGAAGATGATTTGAAAGAACCAATTAGAGAATAAAGAGTCCAGTCTCCGTGAAGGAGAGGAGTCCCTCTGAGCAAATTGCCACATTGTAGGCAGATTTCCTGAACTCATATTGTGTGTTGCCAAATACTTACTTACACATCACGTATTATCTACACGAATATCTGAGTCTGAGCATGGGTAACATATCATATTTACCAAATTTGACAATGTTTTAATTTTTTTCCTTGCAGAATTCAAATGCTTGTTTTAAAGAAAATGGAAAATAAGGAAAAATAGAAAGAAGACATAAATTCCATTACTATAAAACCAAAATGAAATAGTGCTAATATTTTGGAGTTTTTCTTTCTAATTTTTAAATCTGTAGAACAGATGTTTCATCCTGACAGATTGGGGCTGCTCTCTCTAAGGTTTAACTAGTTTTATCCACTTTGGGTCTCAGAATTTGTAATTTGTGATAGTTCAAGGGATCCATCTGGTCTGGTTAGCCATCTGTAACAATTAAAGGAAGGGTTATTTAGCATTACACTTGATGAATATACTAAAAACATTAACTGAGAATGATAAAAGCAACATTTAAAAATGTTATTGTTAGGGCCAGCCTTGCTGACGTGGTGATTAAGTTTGGCTCGCTCCACTTTGTTGGCGCAGGTTCGGATCCCGGGTCTGGACCTACACTTTTCATCTGTCAGTGACCATGCTATGGTGGTGACTCACATACCAAAAAAAAAAAAAAAAAAAAAAGAGGAAGATTGGCAGTGGATGGTAACTTAGGGTGAATCTTCCTCAACAACAACAAAAACACCCAAAATGTTATTTTTAACTTAAACATAAATGTATACAATCAATTCTATAGAAAATCATAAAATATTTAAAGTTTCTGTGCCTCCTCATTAAGAAGAGCGAAAAATTCTTTCCCCTACTCAGGCAGATTCTGTTTGGTTTGGGATGCTGGAGAGAATATCTGAGTCAGATTATTAGGATCTGATGTGCAGGGTAGGTCTGATGGTGAGAATTTCTCTTAATTTTTCTTCATTCGAGAACATCTTGATTGTTGCTTGAGTCCTGCAAAGTATTTCACACGCATATAGAATTATGGGTTGACAGTTCATTTCTTTCAGCTCTTGAAAAATGTGACACTTCCTTCTGACCTCCATGGCTTCTGATAAGAAATCCACTGTAATTCAAATTGGTTTTTTCCTATAGATAACATGAGGTTTTTCTTTCACTGCTTTCAAGATTCTCTTTGTCTTTATATGATGTGTTTTGGTGTAGGTTTTCTTTGGGTTTATTGTGTTTGTGGTTCACTCAGTTTTTTGAATATGTAGGTTTCTTTCTTTTGTCCAATTTGGAAATCTTTCTGCCATATTTCTTTGAGTACTTTTTCAGCTCCTTCCTCTTCATCCTTTCCTTCTGGGACTCTGATGACACAAATATTAGATCTTTTGTTATATTCCCACAAGTCCCTGTGACTCTGTTTACTTATTTATTTTTTCAGTCTAGTTTCTCTCCATTGTTCAGATTTGCTTATTTTATTTTCTATCTTCAAGTTCACTGATTCTTTCATCTCCCTTCATTTTGTTGTTGAGTCCATCCATTGGGTTTTTTTATTTCAGTCATATTTTTCTTTTGTGAAATTTCTATTTGTTCTTCCTTGGATCTTCTACTTCTTTGCTGAGACTTCCTGTTTCTTTGCTGATTTTTATCTTTTTTTTTTATTGGTTTAAACATGTTCATAATTGCTTTTGAAGATGATGGTTATCTTAGAGTCTTTGTCGGATAATTCTAATACCTCTATCTTCTCATGTTTTTCTTTGTTGATTGCTGTTGCTGTGTGTTCCTTCAGTTTGAGATGTTCCTGGTTCTTGGTGTAACAAGTGGCTTTTGATTGAAACTTAGAAATTTCTGGTACTATATTGCGAAACCCTGGATCTTATTTAACTTCTGTTTTAGCTGAGTTGTTCTGACATTATTCTGGCTGGGACAGAGGGAGAGAGGGAGTCAGTGCTGTCTCTTTACTGCTAAATGAGAGTAGAAACTTAGCTTCCTTGCTCAGCATAATGACACTTGAGGAAAGGATTCCTTATTCCTGCTGGGCAGAGATGGGAGTTCTGGCTCCCCATCAGGCCTCCACTCATACACCTCTAGCTAGGATGGGTGGGAGTGCCTCATTACTGCTCCTACATTCCTCCACTGACGCCATGGAGGGGGCCTCATTACCTGTAGAAGCTAATGGAAGTCCAACCTCCATTAGGTCTGTCTGACACACCCCAGCCCATAGAGGGAGGGACATCTCATTACTGCCAGGTGGAGTGGATATTTAGACTCTCTATTCTCCTTTGTAGGTGGATGGGGGGTTAGGCCACCATTTTTTCCTGTGGTGTTTGGCTTGAGTAGAGGAGTTATTGTTTAGGAGTATCTGTCTTGCTAGGCTGCCCATCCTAGTTTTTTTTTTTTTTTTTTAATTATTATTAGGGAGAGCAGGAGCTTTTTGTTGTTTGGTTGCTTTTTGCCTGTGTCCATTGGCATTTCTGGGTTGCCAATGTCTTCAGCTCCAAGTCGGGGATATATGAGGCAAAAAGAAAACTCATTGTGTCGTTACGTGGGTCCCAGTACCCCTAGCTATTCCTCCTTCTTCTTTCCATTTCTCAGAGTCTCCACATGTTTGCTTTATACAATAATGCTAGATTTTCTTTATTGTACATAGTGGGAGAAATAGGGAAGAGTATGTCTACTCCATGTTCCCACAAGATGGATTTTGAGGAAATTATTTGAGATGGATTTATGGAAAATCAGAAGGCTGAGAAGTTACTCAATAATAGTCTCCATGTAAATCAAAATTCTAGGCATATTAGTAATCACTCACATTCATTTTCATTAAGAATTATCAAAAAACAGATTGGGAGCCACAGATTAGATCATAATAACAATTATCTTACCAGTGTCTATTTTAGAAATGTTTTAATTAGCCTTTCTTGGAGCAATTCTTTAAAACACAACAGATTTTCATTGAATTCTGCTGGAAGACAGTATTGTAACTCAAGGGTGTCTTACAAGACATCTTTTCACTTTTTCTTCATATAGATCATAATGTGGCTCCTAGCATGTTATAAATGTTAAATAGGCATTAAGTTGTTTCACTAAAGGTCTTCTATGTAGGTAATGTTTCCTTTCTAAGTAATAATTTTAAAGGCAACTTGGAGCTTATTTTATTTCCTGACTTTTTTTTAAAGGGTAAATCATTCCAGCCTTAGAATAGAAATGTTTAATCTCCTGGGACTCCTCTGATGAATGGCCAAAGGGATAATGGCTTGGCTATATGAGTTTCAACATATTTTTTTAGCAAAATCATGGATATCCAAATGTAGATTCTGGCAATTTGGGATGTCATGTCAGTATGAGAAATTCCCAAGAGGACTCTGGAACTCTCATGGAATTACTAGGTTACAGCAGTAAACATAGTAGGCATAGTTTTTCAATAGTCAAAACAAAGTATGATCTATGTAACATATTTTGTATAATAAGTAATACAAGCGTAATACAAAACAGGTGACTAATATTTCTTAACTATTAAGTGTACCATATGTGATAAAATATAGCCAAATGGTAATTTAATTATTTCCAGAAAAATAACAGATACATTCCAATATGTAAAAAGCAGATGATCTCCTGTGTTGTGAACTTTGAGGCTATACACGTGATTGTGTATTGCGATGAACTTTTCAGTTTATTATATGTAATCAATTATGAAAAGCAAATGAATATTCAAATATGCTGGGAAGAAACAATTGTGCTTTTTGGGTGAAGAAACCAGTCATCCAAAAATATATTTCCAAGAAATAAGTTCTGCCACGTTGAGCTGAACATTTGTACCATTAACTCAGTTATTGAAAGCACGAAGCTCATGGATGAGATCCAAACCTTTCTTGCACCCTGAGCTGCTTCTTTACTCCATAGTTATGGACATACCCCTATCTGGGACTGTTCCTCGGATAATGCAGCTTGTGAAAACCAGATGAGAAAATACATTTGAATAACTGGAAAATCTAAAGTATTTTTTCTGATGTTGGGTCAGTAACATTAATTTTATTTACTATGGAGAATATTCAATAATTCAATGGAGTGTCTGACACATGTCTGCATGATAAATATACCAAATTAATAAAGTCCATGGTCCTGATCTGTTTTGGGCATCAGCTCCCAGGACATATGAACTCATGTGGGATATTATTGGCTTAAATCAATATCCAAAATTGTAGTATTGTCTTCCTTAAAACCTTCTTCTAGTACCAACAGGTATATTTTCACTTTTCCTAGTCAGCTTGGCCTTAATGATGCATATTGTTAAGTGAAAAAAGCCAGTGTGAAAGGCTATGTATGGTACAATTCCAACTATATGACATTCTGGATAATGCAGTAATATAGAGACAGTAAATAGATCAGTGGTTGGTAGAAGTTTTGGTGGAATGGGAAAAGGAATGAATAGGTGAAGCACAGGGGATTTTTAGAGCAGTAAAACTATTCTGAATATTTTAAGGGTAGATACATGACATCATGGGTTTGTCAAAATCCATAGAACAGTACAACATAAAGAATGAGACAATGTAAACTATGGCTTTTAGCTAATAGTAGTGTATCAGTGTTGGTTCATCAGTTGTAACAAATGTACCACAGTAAAGCAATATGTTAATACAAGGAGAAACAGTATTTAGGGGAGGAGAGATATATTAACTTAAAAATGTAAACACTAGATTAAATGAAATTGTGGAGTATTGTATGTAATATGCAAACTTTCCGTTAACTTTCCTACTTTGAGACCCAGGTCACCCTTCCTTCTCAACTTTGTCTGTTGTCTTAGCCTCAGGAGTAAAAGTCCCCTCACCCCAAACCCCAAACACACGCAGTAGGTGAAAAGGGGCTACAAGCTCTGACTTTTCTTGAATCAGATCTTTAACCAATCTCTTGCTTTTCTGTCTTAACACTCTGCCTTCTGTAGACTTTGAACCTGAATCTATCTGTAATTCTATCCAAATTTGCTCACTGCTCTTCAATATTCTCCTGTCCAGACAGCTCCATTGAACTTTCCTCTATTCTGTTGATTCACTTACTATTCTATTTGTTTTCCATCTTCAAAAATTTGTTGTAATGTCTTGTATACTGTTGTCTTTTCTTTTTGTCCTTGTCAATTTAAACATTCAAAATTGGTTTACCTTCATTTCAGTGAAGCTTCAAGGGTGAGCACATATACCCAAACAACCATACTTAACTAAAAAATATAGGTGGCCTTCTGGTCATCTTCTCTCTCTGCTTTCCTTTCGTGGTCCCCATATTTTTCTTCCTCTGGACATGACTACTCCTATTAAGTAAAGTTAAACATCATCTTTGTCAATACACTGTCTAATAATATGAACTACTTTAAACTGAATAATGCCCGTCTTTGTCAATGAATGAATTCAACTGAATCATGAGACAACATTTGCTGTAATTATTTAATTAATGGAAATGAAGTATTGTAATATCGAGGGACTTGAATACATGTTGAAGGATACTGTGGATAAGAACTATGGCTCAAAGCCAACTCAGAGTTATTCATGTTTCAAATAATGAAATGATGAATTTTCATCCTTTTTCCTTTTCCCTTCTCTAAGCTTTGCATCCTGTTTGAAGCAAAGGCATCTGTCTTTTCCCAGATAGCAAGAACTTTGGTTGCTGTGGCAACATGTTGACTGGGGAACTTAAAATAAAGGTGGCTCATTTCCAAATCACTCTTTTTCTTTTTCCTCACAAAAACAGAACACATTGGCAAGAAAGCTCTACTGGAATCTTTATAATCAATAAATCTGTTGTTTGCTGAAGGATTATATCCCAAAATTTGCATGTTAAGCAGGTGAGTAAGTGTACATCTGGCTTTTAAATAGTTTTAAACTATGTAAAATTGCATTACCTCATTTTAAACAAATTTTTCTTCCTTCCTTTCTCCCTCCCTCCTTCCCTTCTGTTCTTTCTTCCTTCCTTCCATGCTTCCTTCCTTCCTTCTTTTCTCTGTCTCTGTTTTTTAAATGGGATGGTAGGGACCTGGGTGCCTGTAGAAGGAGGAGGGGCAAAGGCAGTGAAAGGAACTCTTCAAAGGCCTTTGCAAAAGCACAGCCTGGTTGCTAGGGATTCAAAAGATTGTTATTTGTAGCTAACACAAAGTTATTCCAAAATGCACTCAGCCTTAGAAGCAAACAAGTTCTAAATTTTTAAGAGAGGCATAGATCGAATCTTCAACCATATGAAAATAATCTTTTGACATTTTAGGAAGCACATATATTTATGCATTAAATTTCATGAAATACTGAGCAGGGGAGGGAGTTAGAAAATTCCTAAAATTGAGGACAAACATCTTTAAAAACTCATATACTTAAAAACGCTTGAATTTTTACAGTATTTATTCCTAAAATTTCATTTCTTTTTGAGTCTTGTTGTAAAGTTGGGTTCATGAACAACAAACCTGCATGATAGGAAAGTAAATGTGTGATTTACTTAGTTCTATTTATTGACTTTCTTCCAAATCTAGAGCCTTGTAATTTTCTTTTTTCATTCCATTTTTTTTTTACGTATAAAGTAAACAATATTTGATGGGTGAGCCATAAATATGAGCTTCTTTTAACATAAATTATTTAAATTAAGTAATTACTTCAAATTTGGTATAAGACCAGGTAGAGCTAATTTACATAGTATCAGTAATTTTAACATAACAATAAATTCAGTAAGCAAAGGAAATAAAAGTGATGTTATCTCTATTAACTGCTGGTTATGTGATTTGAGATAGATATTCAGTTTTCAAAGTTATTTATTGGCCTAGAGCAATATAGTTAAATCGTTTTTCTGGAGAATGTACAAAGTTAAAAACTAGTGTTTTGGAGTAATGATCAGATTTTAATCTTTTTCCCACTCTCTGATAAGGATATAGGCTGTCATAATGCAATAAATTTCGATATTTACTTGGTTGGAGATTTTTAAAGTAGAGACGAATGGACCCACATTCTCACCTCATGCATGAGAATTATAGAACACTGAATTTACAAACTTGATCTGAAAATTTTATAATCTTTTTTTATGAAGCCCCTTTATGAGTATAAACAGTAACAGCAAGGGAAAATTTTCTGCATGCAAATCTTAATGGATATAGCAAGAAGGTGCTTACATACAATATTGATTCCCTTAGCTGTTTCTATCATCAAAAGAGTTGAGTACAAATCCTTTAAGAACAACGATACACTGGTGATGGTAAAGACAGAATTTGTAAGGAAGATGGACAAACAATTGACTGGTCATCTTTGGTTTTGCTTTCTTGTCAGAAGTTGACTCTTATCTGCCCTTCTTCCTCCTTATGATCTGTTCCACGTGTCCACCATCTTGTTTTTCCGCTGTAGGGCTGTGACACTCCAGGGATCTAGCTTTATTTCTTCCATACTCACCTCACTTTATGGATTTCCCCTTATTTTTATAATTGTCTTTTCTTTTTCTTTGAGGAAGATCAGCCCTGAGCTAACATCTACCACCAAGCCTCCTCTTTCGTTTTTTCTTTGCTGAGCAAGATTGGACCTGAGCTAACATCTGTGCCCATCTTCCTCTATTTTATGTGTTATTTTATATGTGGGATACCTGCCACAGCATGGCTTGGTAAGCGGTGTGTAGGTTCATACTCTGGATCCGCACTGGTGAACCCTGAGCCACCAAAGCAAAACACGTGAACTTAACTGCTACGCCACTGGGCCAGCACCTATAATTTTGTTTTCTTGATTCTTTTTTTTTTTTTTTTTGTGAGGAAGATTGTCCTTGAGCTAACATCTCTGGCAATCTTCCTCTTTTGTATGTGGGACACTGCCACAGCATGGCTTAATGAGTGTGTGCAAGTCTGCACCTGTGATCTGAACCCACAAACCCTGGGTTGTCGAAGTGGAGTGTGCCAACTTAACCACTATGCCCCTGGGTCCGCCGCTGTTTTCTTGATTCTTTGTGTTACTAGATTAGGGACCTGGCTGATAAAATGAATTTCCTGAAGGATACTGGGGGGATAAGTCAGGAAGACTTCTCCACTGAGATATGTGAGTAAGAGCAAATATATTTCTACTGGCTAGGGGTCCAGAAGGTCAGAGGTGTTTAAAAAGTGCTGAATTCATTCTGTTAAAAAATTTCAAATTCTGGTGCTATGCTAAGCATATGTCCTTCATTGGGCAGAGGACCAGCTGGTATTTTAATGATAAGCATGTTGTCAGAGTTCTGTACTTTGTAAGTAAAGCACATTCTGCTTCGGTAGCTGGGGTTTGCCAGTTCGGATCCCAGATGTGGACGTGGCACCGCTTGGAAAGCCATGCTGTGGTAGGCGTCCCACATATAAAGTGGAGGAAGATGGGCATGGATGTTAGCTCAGGGCCAGTCTTCCTCAGCAAAAAGAGGAGGATTGGCAGCAGATGTTAGCTCAGGGGTAATCTTCCTCAAAAAAAAAAAAAAAAAAAAAGAGAGAGAAGTAACTTAGGAAGAGCTATAGCCTTGTAGGAGGATGATGTGAGTAAAGTTAAATCATTTCTGGCACCCTCCTTAAGGCATCCATTCTCAGATTGTTTTGCTCCCACAGTGCTGGAACTTCTCTGCTGCTCTCCTGGACTTCCATAAAAGCTCTCTCATCTGTGGTGGTTGTCTAAAGCAGTGTTCTCCAGGGGCTTCTGGATCATGGCTGAAGGGAGCTGAAGTCTAGTTCATGGGATACTTCAGGGTCCGCATCAGGGACTGAGGTCTATATGCCTCTTACCTGACGCATGGTGGGTGAGACTCCTCTGGAGTACCTTGGCATATGGTGCAAGCAGCAGAACGACAGCTAAGTGGGGCCGCGGTGGAGAAGTCAGGGGTAGGCAGCTGTTTTCAGGTCCATAGTCGGACCACGGTCAGTGAGTCAGCCGCCTAGGTGAGGGCCTGTCTTCTCAAAACAGCTCTCCTTGTTCTTGGACTGCTCTGGGGTTTCGCAATTTCCTACCTGGGTCCCACACCTCCCACAAAGGCCCATTTGTCCTTGGAGGGATGCCAAGTTATTGTTGTTGAGGGGGAGACATGAACAGGAAATGTCTTCTTTGGCCATCTTGCTAGTGTCACTCCCATATGATGGAATATTATGCAGCGATAAAAAGAAAGAAACTATGAAGCCACAAAAAGACATGGAGGAAAGTTAAATGCATATTACTAAGTGAGAGAAGCCAATCTGGAAAGGCTATGTACTGTATAACTGTATGTATATGGCATTCTGAAAGGGGCAAAACTATGGAGGCAGTGAAAAGATCAGTGGTTGCCAAGACCTGTGGTGGGGCGGGGTGGGGTGGGGGGAGTTGGAAGGATGAAGGGGCAGAGCACAGGGAATTTTTAGGGCAATGAAATTTTGTTGTAATGGAAGATGCATGTGATACATTTGTTAAAACCCATACAACTGCACAGCACAAAGAGTGAACTCTAATGTAACTATGGACTTTAATAAATAGTAGTGTATCAAGATTGGTTCATCCAAAGAAAGTAATAGACTGTGAGATGCTTATGGAGAAAGTAATAAGGCATTATTAAAAAACTTTTGAAACCTAAGTATATGCAAACTTAATATACTGCATTTATGGATGGGAATACTTTTCATAAAGACACGAATTTTCTCCAAATTAATGTTTACCATCAATTCTACTCACAGTCCTAATTTTTTAAATGAAATTACAAGCTGATCCTAAAGTTAATTATTAAGACTAAAAAAAACAAAAACAGGAAAGACAATTAAGGAGATGAAAAAGAGTATCCTCGTTATCTATTGATGCACAATAAACCACCTCAAAATTTACTGGCTTAAAAGAATAATTTATTATTATTTTTTCATTGTTCTGTGGGTTGAATGGGCTGAGGGAGGTGGTTTTTGCTTAAGAGTTGTCTCATGTGGTTGCAGTTAAATGTTTCCTAGGGTTACAGTCATCTGACATCTCACCTAGGCTGGTTGTCCATCAGGGCTGGCTCACATTGTTGCCAGTTGATGCTGAATAAAGGCTGGAAGCTCAACTGTGCTGTCTACTGGTATGTCTACGCAAGGTATCTCCACATGGCTAGGCTTTCTCTCAAGACGGCAGCTGTTCCAAGGGGGAGCTATCCAAGAGACAGCATTTCAAGAGACCCAGGTGGAAACCGCAAGGTTTTTATGCCTAATCTCAGGAGTCCCACAATTATACTTCTTCTGTATTTTATTGATTAATCAATTCTCTATGGTCATCCCAGATTCAAGGGGAGGAGTCCTACCACTCTCTAGGAAGAGAGTAAAGACACTGCATCCATCTGTAAACCACCATAGAGAGACGTTGGTTTTCCCAGTTTGCAAACACATAAAGTTATGTTAATTTATAAATTTTGCACCAGCATAGGGATAGACAAACACAAGCAAAGCAGAGAACCCTGAAACAGTCTAACACACATGTGGAATCTTGATATCTGAGAGAGGAATACTTTTGAAACTGAGAGTAGAAGATGGATTATTAAAAAAAAAAAATTGTGCTGGTCCAATTGCCTGTCCACAAGGAAAACAATAAAATTATGTCCCTACTTAATACCACGTGAACACTAAAAGTGTATTTTAGTAGATACAATAAAGTAAATGAGATAAAAATAGAGATAACTCAGTGTATTACCATGAAATTCCAAATAAAATAAAAGAGAATGCAATATTAATAGGAGATGAAGAGAAATTAAAGATCAAAACAAAAATAAAATATACTTCACACAGCATTTATAATCATAAGGTTTCCCATGACATTTCATAGCCATGCATTCATAAATAAAAAGCCTAGAATAAAAATTCTATCAAGATACAGTTGTAATGAGAGATTT